ACAACAACTCTGTTTAACATACGAGTCTTTTCTAAGTTTTGATCTACATGAGTTATTGTTAGAGTACATGATTGTAACTTACATATAGAATCAGATAATTGTGTTATGATACATGGTATACCTCGAGACTATGAAAATGTAGAAAGACAAAAAAAAAATCTTGAAAACTTGATACTATCAATAAACCATCGAGATTAGGGCATATATATATATATATATAAAATCTGATAAGCAGCAATTTTTTTCCGTTTGATACATTTAAATTTTCGGTAGATGTCGGAATATGGCGGACTGTTCATGTTTAAAAAATTTTAATAGTCTATTTTGTGAGACTTATTTGAGTTTTCCTTTGTTTTTTTCTCTGGCAAAAGATGAGAGTTTATTTATTCGAGTCAGAATTACTCATCATTCTTATATTTTGTTAATACAAAGATTCGATTGTTACTATTATCATAAATTGATTATAGAATTGACCATCATATACCTTATCTTGAACATATAAGAAAAAAAGAAATGGGAGGTGCATATATATATATATATATATATGAAGAAACATAATTTAGACCAGAATAACATATATTACATATATACAACATTGTGAACAAACAAAATAGAAAAATATCCCCAGCAACTAATATCTTTCTTCACTGCTAACTGACATAAGATGTTCTATAATCAAAAGTGATTTTCGTTCCTGTATGTTGGTGATTAGTGCATATTTTATCTATTAACTACGAGAAAAAAATATGTTAAAATAATATTTGTGTGCATCGATTCGCTAATAGTAACTCTTGTTGAAAACGTGTCCCTCAATAAATTCTTCATTAGTATTTGTCCAATTTGAGTTCAAAGCTAGCCAGATAGACGTATCATTAATTACTAAAATTTAAGACTATCTACCCATTCGACTCTATTTAATGTATAATATCTAAAACTATAAATTGTAAATGTGCATATGATACATGAAACAATTTGTTTTCTCTGCAAAATATCAATATTTATAGAGACTTGTTGTACTACTTTAAAACTGAGAACAGTATTGTCTCTTTCTCTCGATCTATTTTCTTTTTTTGAATCATAAAAATCTATTCAATAAATAATAGATACTTTGTAGTATTTTCATTGAGTGTATACTACAAATATGTTCGTTTTTCTCATCGTCGCTTTGCGTAAAAAGTGAAAGATTTGTTTATTCATTATCTAACAGCAAACGCATCGTAAAAAAATAATTACGGTATAACGTAAGACAAAAAAAGAATAACACTAAATTCATACTATCTCATACGGCAATAATTATTTTAGACTATTCTAGGAGAAAAAGTGGCAAATTTCTCATGATATTTCACAATATTTTCCAGAGTGATTTAGATTTGTAGAACATTCTCTGCCATCTTTTAACGTATTGTGTAATATTGTTCGCAAGTTCATTTCAATCTCCCAAAACAATTCAAAATAATTGTTCGCATATGTGGCGTTGTGAAATTTCCCTTGTCTGACGTTAGACCATAATTATTTTTTACAGTATGATATGGATTTTAGTGTAAAGGATGACGTCGACTTGAGTCGTTTTTGTTCATAAAATTTTCGTATTAGTCTCATGTAGAAATGTAGAATAGATTAAGACGAGTATTTTGGCATCATTTATTCTAGATATCTCTTAACTGAAAAAATCATCTCGGAAACTGTTGGTAACAGCACAGCTATATCCAATTAATTTTCGATCTTTTAATAAAACCGAGATTGTTGTCTATGAATAAAATGACACCGCACGGAATATTTTGTAACTATCGAAACCTCACGTTTTGAAGGTCAACCCCATTTAACAATACAATAGAAGCAGCAAATAGAAGAAAATGAGTGAGATTTTGATAGTTACAAAATATCCCGTGTGGTGTCGTTTTATTCATCTCCATCTGAATATTTGAGACATTTTGTACCACCTCGCAGGCTCGATCTCTCCATGTACCATGTGAAAATTTAATTTCTAGAGCAAAAAACCGTACCATCTTACTTTTGTTTGAAGCATTGCGCCTCAAACATCCCACAGTATAGATGCTCTTGCAATGAATCTGCTCTCGGTTTTGTTAAAAGATCGAAAATCAATTAGATATAGCTGTGCTGTTAACAACAGTTTCTGAGATGATTTTCTCAGCTAAGAGATATTTAGGCAGAAAATAAATGATGTCAAAATACTCGTCTTAATCTATTTTACATTTTGACATGAGACCCCAATATTATGTACAAAAAACGACTCTAGTCGTCGTCATCCTTTGTTCTTCGTCTCCAATACACTTATAAATTGACTTTTTCTTCGGATAATTAGAATAAGAATAGATCAGTTAACTGCATTTTAGTATGTTTTTACTTGAGCTGTGAAAAGAGTTTATTGTTCTTAAGAGACTCATAAGAAAACATCAGTACTCTTCGATAAGAATTGTTATTTTTTTATTATTATGAATCGTCGAACAAAAGCAACAACAAAAACCTTGGAACTATTTTAATCACGCAAAAACGTTTTTCGATTACTATTATTCATTTGATGAAGAAAAAAAAAAAGAATATTTTCTCCGTATAATTTTGAAAAATACAAACTATTTAATAAACAGCTATATCGAAACGATTATCAATAAATATATATAGCATACAAAAAATCTGGTTTTCTTTCGTTTCTTTTCTCTTTTGCGCCTATATTCATTCATTCAATAGTAATTTTTTCCATGAACGTTGCTATCTGTTTCGTCAATTAGCCATCAAATACAAAGTGTTTTTTTTTCTTATTTTTTTCTTATTCATGTCAAGGATATATGCATTGATGAACGCGTGAAAAATTCGATTAAATATACAAATAGATTTTCTAAAAATATCTTATCTCATAGGTTTTTTAGTACAGACAAACTACCGTATTATCTACGGATGAAGAATGAAAGTGAGTTTTTATGAGTAGAAAATATTATAGTTGATTATATATTAAACATTAAATTCAATGAAGTATACTTCGATAAGTGACTTTTATGTTAGAAAAAAAAAAAAGGTCGATTCTAAAAAGGTATCAATAGTCGAAGACTTTTTTATTATTTTGATCAGTATATTTCATGATCATATATGTATTCTTTATCATATACGATAGTTTATTTCAACATTTTCATGTATCTTGATGGCCTTTAAATATTTACTATTCAATAATTGTCATCTCTATCGATTTCATTTCGTGATAGACATCAACAACAATAAAACTTACTTATTCTTGCTTCATTTGTCGTCTTTTTTTTTTTTCGTATATGTTTGTCTGTTTGTGTATATAGAAGAATCGAGGATATAGCGCTTTGATCGTCGATCAATCTTTTTTTATATGTACAAGAATAATTATATGAAGAAGAAAGTAAATTTCGTCTATAAATAAAAAGATGTTCTAACACGAATTGTAAACTAAAACACAAATAAATTTTTTGAGTATATATTTAGTGTAATGAATGACTTTTATGTTATTATACCGTTTGTCTTTAGGATGAGTCATGAAACTATGATAATGTTGATGATTATTAATATACTTGAAAAATACTGATTTATTCTTAATTTAATTACTATAGAGAGAGAGAGAGAGAGAGAGAGAGAGAAGCCATTTCTCTTTCTTGTTTCTTCATCTTTTCTTTGAACTTAGTGTATAGACATAGTAAACATTCATGATGAATACAATAGATATTTTCTTTCCTTTTTATTGTTATCGTCATACAATATAAATTACATATATTTTGTCAATAATGAGGACGAAAAGATAATAAGAGACACATACATACATTAGATCGACAATAGACAGGGACAACTGTTGATTAGATAGGTAAGGTTTCAATCTTATAGAACAAATGAATTGAATATTATGTAGCAATATATTTTATTATTATTAATTATAGTTATATCATCACATTTATTTTCAACATAAATATTTATTTTCATCGAGAACAAGTGAAATAATTTGATTACTGTTAAAGATATAAAAATTAGTATATTCGATGAATTATGTGTTGAAAATGGATGCACTGTTGACCTAGAGTATCAACAACTCCTCCCAATAATATTATAATTGATCTTTTTCAGTTTTCTAATACCTTAACATTATTACTATCATCTATAGAATTTTATTATAAATTTGTATTTCAAAAACTTCTTTATCTCCAATTTCATTTCGTGTCTGTATTTAATTTTTAGTAATAAAAATAAGTGAGTAGGCGTTTGTTAGTCTATTGTCCTTCTAACATTTTTTAAGTTGACATATAAACATACGTTGAAAAGTTGATGGTTTTAGTTGATATATATCTAATAATATAAAATTGTTTTTTTTTTTATGTATGAAAAACCTTGGTCAATCAAAATATAGTTAGATATTAATTGACTATAGACAACAGAAAAAAGTGATCTTTCTTATAGTTTTAGTGTTGAATGTTTTATAGATTTGTGGAAATGAGACAGAGAAGGTTTTGTGTTACCATTTTAATCACATACTGCTCTAATATGAATTGAGTAATAATAATAATTGTAAGAAGAGAGACAGCCTATGGTCACAAAACCACATCTGTCACATAGAATATCCACATCTAAAGTTAACTGTATGGTACCAATCAAAACGATAATAATAATAATAATAATCTAATAAATGAAAAAGAATAGAAGAGACAGAGAAATTGATTCATTTCAGAAAACATGGTTCTCTCTCCCTTTCTCTCTCTTCTAGAGGGTAATGTTTATACAAGAGTAAGATATGCTTACAAAATTAAATAACCGTTTTATTCATGCATCTACATATAAAACAATGATAACTATAGAAAAAAATTGAAAGACGAAACGAGCCGTTAGTATTTCTTATTATTATTACTATTATTATTGTTCTCGCTTTTCTGTCTATGTATAAAAACAGATTAGAGCGCGACGGTACTGATGGTGGCACTTCTAACGTGTTATATCACATTCATTCCCGTTGACAAAAAAAGAAAAAATATAATTTCATAATGGTAGGATTATTTTACTGTCAAAATTATATAAATCATATTGTTTAACTGCTGAGAGAGAAGAAAAAAAGAGAGGGAGAGAGGAGAAAGAGAGAGAAAAAAAAGAGAATATTGATATTCATTTTTTTCAAGTACGCCTCTGAGTTATTATGCAGATATATTTATTAACACATCGTGACTTCGATAAAGTAACTATGAGAAATGTTTCATTATTCAATTAAGAGTAGAGACTGATTTTGAAACGATATCAATTATTCGATGAACTCTAAAAGGTTTTTATTATTTTTTTTTTCTACTTTTAGAGAAAGAGTGGTAATTAACTACAATTAATAATGAAATTAAAAGAATATTTAAATTCTTTAGTTTCAAAACGTAAAACTCGTTTGCCTCAACAAAAACAACAGCAAACAACAAAAAAATGTTTGAAATCAACAAATGAAAATGTCGATTGTCAGTACGATATTTGTAACGATCAACAACAACAGTATCCACTTCATTATTATCACGGCGTCGATGATCCTTCTAATACGGGCAATAGTCGACATTGTGGTAATGATACTGGACGTACAAAATTACTACTTGCACGTCACGCACAATTAGTTAATACAATTATCGGGCATCAAAATGAATCATCATCGTGTAATCATCATTATATGCCGAGTACACCTCGTATTCAACCTCCACCACCTTTACCGCCACCACCACCATTACCACCAAAAACTGATTTATTTAATAGTAGTGCATCGGTAGCTGTTAGTAATCGTAATTATTATGGGACATTAGCGACATGTAGTCCACGTCGAGAATGTTGTATTCAATATCCAACTACAAACTCATCATCATCAAACAATGATAAAAATATGAATAGTTGGTCAACATCATCGAAACAACGAACGAGAATTAAAACAAATCCATGGATTAATAGTCCAAAATGGTTTCGAGAAACACCATCGACATGTTTGTGTCCAACAACTGTCGATTATTGTCTTTATGATCCTTTATCAAGTATTAATAATTTAACACACTCAGAATCGTATCCAAAAACCATTCTTGAACAAATACAACAAACAAATAAACAACAACAAGACACTCCGCCAATAATCACAGTAAATCCTAAAGTAACAACTGTCTTACATCAAAGTGATAGTGGTCATGGATTTTCATTAAGTTCGATTGGTGAAATTAGTTCATCATCTTCATCTTCGTCACCAAGTTCAAATGTCGTAGATAATTCAATATCATCTTTAACATCGTCATCGAGTGGTGAAAAAAAAATTGTCACACCTAATATTCGTATACAACGTAAAACAAATTTGAATAAGTTAGAATCAGCAGCAATTATTGTTAAAAATCAACCAGATAGAAACGAGGTGAGAATTAAAACGGCTGTAACACCACCAACAAGTCGAATTATCAATGAACGAAAAAAAATTACATCAAAAGAGAAAGGTATAAAAATAATTAAATCTATAATTTCGAAATTTTATTAAAGAAAAATTATAATTATTTTAAAACTAACATTTCTGTCTAAAATTTTAGGATTTGTTCGATCTTCCTTTGATCAAACGCCAACTACTCGTCCACAACATCGAGCATCAAGTATGTTTCCTACGGTATCGATCAGCGATCCTATCATTCGTTCACGTTCATCTTCCAGTCACTCTGTTCATGATCATTTTTCATTACAATTTGAAGAAATTGTTGAACAATGTTCATCAACTAATAATAATAATAATAATACTAATAATAATAATAATAAACGTTTATCACAGCAACGAAATATCGTTCAAACTCCACCAATACCCGGTCCATTTATTTTACCATTAAGTCTTGATAATGAATCTGTTCTTTCTCCATTATCAACAACTTTAACAAAATCGACTAATTCACGTGCCATTTTAAAACATATTCAAGATATTGAAAATGAAATACGTTTAATGAAAAATATAGATAAACCAGAACTAGAACAAGAAGAAGAATCACCATATTCCATTTTAGATCTTAATAATAATGATGATCGACGAAATACAATTTATGAACAAGTGGATTTATGGGTAGAAAAATGTTTACAAACACAAGAAATAGATACTAATATTTCTCACAATGATTCTACACGATTATCTGATACAATTAAAGATTTTGTTTTATTCGTATGTTCTGATAATGAAGATGAAAATAAAAATACAAAAAAAGTTTCAACATCACAAATAGAATCAAATTCTAAATTAATGACAGCATTTTATTTAAGTTCAACACCAAAAGAAACAATATTATCTGTTGATAATGAACAAATTGAAAATGAAAAAGAATATGTATTACTAAAAAAAGATTCAGGAAAATTACCAAAACGAACAATATCAATGATTGAACATGATTCACCATTACAAACACGTACTCCTAAGCAGACAATAATACAACAACGACTACGACAGAAACCGAACAGTTCGTTAGTAACTGATACAAGGTGTAAATCTATGCATGAATGTCCATTTTAAGTGTATATGTGTAAATTATGTGTAAGTAGTTGTGTGAGCAGGCGATGTTAGCAGTAAAGATATTCTCCCTTGATCAAATTGTCAATTTGTATATCTTAGACAGAGTCAGGATATATTCATCTTGTTTATAGAGGGCTGAGTTATTTAAAATTTTAAAGAAATATATTGATGAAACTTTACTAAGTAGAGTTATGTTGACTATAAATAAATTGCGTCCGTTAAAATTCAATTTTTTCTATTCTCATTTTTTTTTTTTTTTTGTTGAAAAAGATGAATGAATGAGTTATGTTGTTCAAGTATGACCACGAATGTTCTGTTATCACACTTCAGCGTATCAACCAGCTTTCATCTATTGCAGAAAATTAGGAATTTGAAGAAATATTTTATAAAGAATTCTTGTAATTTTTTAAAATTCAGACTTTTTCAGTATTTACTTCATTCTGTTTTATTACAGTTCAACAGACTCTCACGATCAGTATCTGTTTTATGTTTGTTCTATTTTTAGTCTGTGCATGATTTCCCAATTGTGCGATTAAATCTAATTTTTTTTTTTTTGTTTATTTTTTTTTCTGTTATTGAAATGAATGATTATAATATACAAGAGGAAAAAGTAGCAGATCTTTTTATAATTATTATGACGAGAATTAATGAACTGATATGAACAGATAATTATGTCTTTTTTAAACACAATTCATTTATTCAAGATCAAAACAAAGTCTACAGTTAATCGTACTTTTATAGTTCCATCTCGTGAAAAAAATGAGGGAATATAGTTTCTAGTGCATCTGTCTATCATAGGCATGCATCATCTCTATAATTGGTTTTTGGTACATCTGCAAAAAATAATTGTATCTCTCAAATCATTTGTTATCAATTTTTATTCACAGTATAGGCTAGTTTTTAAAAAGTGGAATTGGTTATTATTTTCCTTGTTTTCATCTTCTCAAATGCAAATACAAACCTCATTATACCTCATTTTGTAGAGAAAAACCTGTCGAACAATCCAATGTATGCAAAAAACATTTAAAACAGAGTCTCAGAACTAGAAATTTTTTTCAATAATCTTCAAAAAAGAATTGGTGCATGCCTAGTCTATCTAAGGAAACGACTATAAATCTCTCATAAGAACGGAGTAATTTCATGAAAAAGGTAGAACTACGGCATAAACCTATCGAATTCGGAACCTCGATGTCAAGAAATCGATCCTCGAATAAGTTCAGAGTGCTTTCAAAATTACACATTTTTATCCTTTTAATGAAGTCGCTCTGATCATATGCTTAAACGATGAACACATCTGTACCTGTACCAATTACTGCAATAAAACTCATGAAGAATTACAACGGAATAGCAGGTGAATGCTCTAGAGGGTGAAATTAAGCATTTTTAAAGTTACCTAGGTCAACGAATCCTGCCGCCTGAAACGATCGGAACCGGTGAGATACATCGGATTTTCCCGCCAGTTGCTATATTTCAGCGAAATTCGGCAGGATTCATCGGAATCTACCATCCTGGATTCTCGTAGAAAACAGATTCAGTCGATTTTGACGGTCGGCAACGGCTAAAATTTTTGCTGATTTTGATCAGAAAAACGTCTACAGGTACCGGAAATGGAACGGTGTGATTGAAATCCTGTTAGTTGATCCGGGCGTCGCTTTTGCCAGAGAATGAGATGAATTTCACCCGGGTACAGGTGACAATTTTTAACAAGACAGAATAATTAGTACAACGAATTTCTTAATTGTAACATGATATACAGTAGTGTTGCTGTGAGAATAAAGTTTAAAAGTAGACGTTTACGGCTGAATATCACAGAAAAATGTTAAAGTTGAGGACGGCTGCAATAATTATTCTATTTTCAATTATGTAATTCAATGAAAAGAAACTCTCATATTGTTTTGTTACACATAATGAGCAAACGACAATATTCTTATCAAACAGAATGTTTTCTCAATACGTTTAGACATGCACCGGTATAACCGATAAATTTCACTATTTTTTTGCAATGGATTGCATGAAAAATACGCATATTAAAAGTTTTCTAACAACTGGACTTTGTAGAGCAAACATTTTTCTACAAGATAAACTATGACGCAAGTTTTCATGTTTTCTATTTCAACCCCAATCGCTTTTCGACGAAGAGCCCTAAATGATTATAACTGATCATGAGATTTTAAAGAAATCTTTCGTTTTATCAGTACTGGATCAAGACGAAGAATACTCTCATAGCTCATCTTGCAGAAAAATGTTTGCTCTACAAAAACCCAGTTGTTAGAAAAATTTCAGAAAATCAATTTTTGTTGAGAAAAACTTTTTGTAAATATACTGTACAACCTCAATCGGTTATAGCCGATGTGTGCCTAGATATGTTGGTAATAAAGCAGTACGATGTTAAGTTCAAATACGAAATGATACTATGTCATTTGCTCTCGGCATCAAAGAATAGTTTAAATTAATAGAGAGATGAATAGAGTCCTTGATCACAATGAACCATATCAACATATGGTTCATTGTGATACGTATGGTTCACTGATCTACTTCGTTTATGTTCATCTTCTGATCGCTCTACAATTTTCATTTTCATTTTAAAAACATACGAGATTTATCAGTTGTACTCTGAAGAGTATACATGATGTATGAGACTATTTATAAGAAAATATCAACATCCCAAATATACTTTTAACAGCAAAATTTCTAATCAAATTCCAATATTCACACTTTCAATCAATGTTACATAGTTTTGCGTTTTTTTCTCATATAACTTCCAGAAAACTTTCGGAAAATCAATGAAAATGCATTCCTAAATATGGAAACGTTAGTGGGTTTCAAAACGTTGATTTTAGAGTATCAAATCATGTACTTTTCTAAAAAAATCGATATTTTAACGAATATTATCATGTCTGAGTGGTAAGAAAGTCTTAAAGAACTATCTGGTCTGATGCTCCGAAAAATTCAGAAATAATGAAAAAATTCATCAATAGTTGATTTTCTTTTCCGATACCTTTTAATTGGAAAAATATTTTTTTCTTGTTTTTTTTTCTTGTACATTTTAAAGAAAAGAGAGACTTTCAGTTTTTATACAGCTTCTGTTACCCAATAGCACTTGAAACTAAAGCACTTCAATGTATTTCTCATTTTTAACTATAGTTTATTTGTATTATTTCTCTTTTGTTTGTATTATTGTCTTAGGGCATAAAACCTTTCCAGTAGTATATCAATTCAAAACTTAATTATCAGACAACCACATCTAATCGAGAGTGCGTTACTTTTATACATTTTTACTTCATTTTCGAAGATTAACGCACATGATCATAATACATATTAGGTCTTCATCTTTTCTCGATGAAAACACGCATATTCATTGTGTGTTTGTTAAAGAGTAACAATTTAAACAGAAACAAAATTGTAACAGTAGTTGACTTAAAAGAATTCATTTCTTTCTCTCTTTGAAAATAATATAATAAAGATTAAAATGTCGAAAAGTAAAATGAATTTCTTCGAATCCGTTGCTGTTACAAGTTATGTTCGTCGATATAATGAACAACATCACCAATACAGTTATATATCTATGCATATAATAGTTTACTAACAGTGCTAGTCGTCGCCATATTTATCCATAACAGGAAAGAAAAAGAACAGTCCTAAGTACACTTTTTTATAATGAGATTGCATCATTTTGATTTCTCAGTGTACTAAGCTCTTAAAGTTTTAAAAAATAATGTAAAATATCAAACAACTAAAAGTACAATTTAGTTTATTTTGAATTTTACTACCTTATTACAATTCAAGATAACAGTGTACAGGAGTTTTATATTATCAACGTTGTTCAAAAAAACTTACTGTTCTGTAAAAAAGACTGGCAGCTAGTATGTGCGTAATCATGACTGCGTGAACAAAGAAAAATCTCCTTTTTATTTCTTCAAGTAAATAATGAATAAAACGTTAAAGTCAAATAAATTAATCATTAAAGTGTTTCTTCGTTTGAAAACTCAAAGTCGAAGTATGGATTGAAGCAAAAAGACAATAAGTGAACAATATACAATGATACAGAAGATTTACTGTCTATTTCAAAATAGAATGCACTCGACTGTTTGTTGATCAACTCGGAAACGCTAATAGCTATCGAGTTCGGGTCTTTACTGTTAGAAAGAGGATGATTCTATCTAGGTTTCCAGGAGGTTTCTGAAAAACCATTGACTAGTTCCTTTGATCAAATGTATTCTCAGTCTCGATTTAAACCATATTATAATCCAATGTGTACTTTATAAATCCTGAAATTTTCAGATTTTTCTAACCTTCCATGAATGTGCAAGCTTTGAATTGCTAAGACTGCGGAAAGCAGGTTTTCGAGTTCTAAGCCACTCTTTCCGCCCCAGTCTATGAGTTAAAACCATGGATTCATAAATTTTCGACCACTCTGAATCGCTTGGCACAGTTTGTTCTTTTTTTGGAGTTGAACCAAAGTCAACAAGCGAAGATCAGCAGAACAGCTGGTTTAGATGCTAGCTGGCTTCCAATGAAATGGCTTCACCTCGGTCAGTTCTTATCCGATTGGGCTGAAACGTTCCACGGACGCTTGAAAGGAGTCCTTCTACATGAAGCCAACGTGTAAAACCAAATCTGCTTCCTACAACTTTCAAAGAGCTTTTAAAGGGTCTAAAAACCAAGGGGAAAACAGCTGATTTGGGGATTTTTCCGATTTCCTGTGATTTGTTTGGGAAATAAAGTAAAGAGACTGTGATAAATAGTGCAGAACCTACTTTATTTGTACAAAATAGAAATCAGACATAGTGAAAGTAAAGAAAAAAAAGATAAAATCATAAGCAATTTTTAGTGATTTTTAAGAATTTTTAGCGATTTTCGATTTAAACCGATTTTTTAAGCTAAAAAATCAGCTGTTTCCCCCTTACTAAAAATTCATCTCATCTAAAAACTGGCTGTTTTGCTGATCCTCGCTTGTTGACTTTGGTTCAACTCCAAAAAAAGAACAAACTGTGCCAAGCGATTCAGAGTGGTCGAAAATTTATGAATCCATGGTTTTAACTCATAGACTGGGGCGGAAAGAGTGGCTTAGAACTCGAAAACCTGCTTTCCGCAGTCTTAGCAATTCAAAGCTTGCACATTCATGGAAGGTTAGAAAAATCTGAAAATTTCAGGATTTATAAAGTACACATTGGATTATAATATGGTTTAAATCGAGACTGAGAATACATTTGATCAAAGGAACTAGTCAATGGTTTTTCAGAAACCTCCTGGAAACCTTCTAGAAAACATTTTAAGCATTTGGTTGTGGATTCTAAAAACCGAGTCCACTCCAGCACAAATGAACTATAAACTGAACTTGGACTAGTTCATGCTAAGTTTTGCCCTTCACCATCTCAGTCAATATATTTTATGTTAATCGTAAATAGTCGTCTTATTTTATATTAATATTCTCCTATTATTCAACAGTTTCAAAGATACTGTTTGATTCAGATAAATTAGAATTTATTATTACTTCATTTTTTGAATTTTTCAAGAAAAGAAAATGAACCAAAGTGTACATGCATGATAAAATACGACGGTAATTAAGAATTGTGTGGAAAGTATTATGGTAATTATACGTGTATATTATACGTGGAAAAACAGGAGGACTATGTTGAAAAAAATAGTGCGCGTACAAAAAATGACAGAAGTTTAAAAAAACAGAACGTAGTACATTCATGCGTGCAGTATATGAGGGGTGATAAATAATTACAAAAATACATGAATAATGGTAAAACATATCTGATCAATAAAATTAGTTAGTCGGTCAGTTAATAAGTTCACAAATAAATCGAACAGCTGATACAAACATTGTCCAATAATAAGATTCTTCATTAGTTAAACGAGAGGAATATAAATCTTGAACATATCTAGAATAAAATGATAAAAAAACCAAGTAACATACATCGAGATATTGAGAAAAGAAAATAGCCTACTGTAAATTCGATAATAAATTTGGTGGATTAGCTTTAATAATAACGAATATTAATATTGGAATTGTATCATCGGCACTAGCTGCCGAATTTGACGATAAACGAATTAAATTTTGAATTATACGAATACATCGTTGAACACAACCAACTTTATCACGAGGTGTCTAAACAATGAACAGACAAAAAGATATAAGAATGAAATGATATTTCTTAAAAAAATAACATACTTTATACGCATTGATCAGAATTAATTCAGCTTGAGCTGATGGCCACGGACATTCTCGTTGAAATATCTTTTGTATTCGTAATTTTTGATGATTTGGACCAATTTGTTCGGCTAAACGTGTTATATGACTACTAAATACTCTAAATTAGATAAAATAAAGTGAAACACAACTGAAATGATAAATATTTTTCACAGAACTTACTGATCTCGTTGTACATCAACTTGACCATTTGGATACAAAGCTTGTGTATAAATGTTTGACATAACCATGCGTTCAATTGCAATATGTGACATTTGAATTTGTTCTGGAGAAGCAGCTAAAAAGAAGAAGAAAAAAAATATATTATAAAAAATGTATTAAAATCAAAAATAAAAGAGGTAAAAGTACTTCTCCAATTAATATCAGATAGTAAATCTCTATTGCATTTGTCTAGAAATAATTCTACAAGATGCATTTTTTCGTGTCCAATTGATAAATGTTGAAATTGTTCAATAAACTCGAGTAAACGACGTTCACGTACGTCACTATCTAAATATAATTTTGCTAAATAATTGATTATATGTTGTTTACATAAATCTTGATCTCTAGAAAGGCAACAACAAAAAGATTATTAAGAGTAAAAGATCGATACTATTGTAATAAATAAGATTAAAACATGTTTTACCTTTGTACTCTCAATAATAATTTTTCTTGATGTTGTGTACTATTTAGTAAATTTTCAATATTTTTAACTAAATAAGCAATATAAACCGTCCTCGATCGATAATCATCACCCATTGAACGTAATATTTCTTTACATTCTATTTCCGAAAATTGTTGAACAAATCGTAATGTTTCATATAATTGTGATTGTAAATCTCGATCTTGCATACTTATTGCTTCATACAATTGACTACGAAGAAATAATACTAAATTATTTTGTTTTGATCCATTCATTGATAGAGATGATGACGATGCTGAACTATTTCGACGTGCAACAATTGATGTTGTCATATAGGATGAGAATGAACAACAATCAATATCAACTAAAGATAAAATATAACGTAATTTTTTCTTAGCATCTATAAATGCTTTGCATGTATCAAAATTAGATGGATCATAATATGAAGATGTATCAATCGTCTCATTCGTTAATTCATTCTGAAAAAAATGAGATCATAAAAATGAACATAGTCAATTGTAAGAATTTTCAAATTTCTTACGGTAATTGTATCACGTTTTTCCATTACGTAGTCGTCAGTATTTCCATTTAATTTTACCGTTGTTGTTGTTGAATTCATACTATTTGGTTGTTGTTGGGATTTATTTGTTGCATATTTTGATAGAATATCATCGGCTGAAATATTTCCTTCCGATTGTTGTGTTTGAGTCAATTGTTGATCATCTGCTAAGATAATTACTCCACTACGATCACGATCACGTGATTTACTATTAAAACGACCACCAAAACGACGAAATGTATTTGACAAGTTGGATGAACGAGATTTTTCATTTGATTTTGATGATGTCTAAAATAAAACATAAATTCTACCAATGTTACATTGTCGAAAGCACGTTTTAGAAATTAAAATTTTTATAAGTGTCTCATCTTGTCTTAATTTGTTGTATAATCTCCAGTCCAGTTACTTTTTCTTCTACTGTTTCAAACATACTTGTTTTCCTTGTGAATTCGATATATGATTTGACATGGTTGCTGCCGATGCCATAGATTCTTTCTTCTCTATTGTTGGAGATGTGAGTTGTGTTTGACCAAAGAATTGTGAAAGAGAAGAAGATGAAGAGGATGAGATGGAATGTTCGTATGTTGGAGTTTCAATATTTGTTGTTAGCATCATAGGATTAGCAATAATATTATTCTGATTTTGATCAAAACTAACTAAATTATTTAGAGAAGTTGATAATTGAACATTTATTAATTTTTGTTTGTTTTCAATTGTTGTAGGCTTTAAAATTGTTGTTGGTGTAGCAGAGATACTGGGAGATAATAACGATGTTTTTGTGCTATCTAATATTCCACTGTCAGTAGCCTAAAATAGGAATGCGATGAATAACCGATAATAATGGCAATATATTGTTACTCACAGACGAAATACTTTCTAACGATGATTTCATTAACATAATATCAACAGGATCGGCAATTGAATTTGTTCGCATACTATGACTAAAACAGAGAAAATTCATCAAATTGTGACAGAGCATTTATCATGTTAAAATAACCAACTTAAATATCGTAAAACTCACGTTGGCGCAGTAGTTGTTGTTCTTTTCGTGATTGTAACTGTGGTTATTGTGGCAGTTTTTGTCTGTGGATCTTGTTGGTGTTTTGTGTGGACAATAATTGTGTCATCAACAATTTGACTGGAATTAGCATCTAAATAAAAATTAAAGCATGACATGTTGTTACTTTTGATAAAATATCGATACTTACCACCAATCGAATCATTCATTGTTGAAGATGATAAATTTATTTTGCTTAGAGATGTTTGCTGTTGGTGCCCATCTTCACTATGTGTTTCACTGTCCGATGCAAATGCTTCTGTACTCCAACAGTCACTTTGTTGATCAACTGGTTTTATAGCATTACATGACTAAATAATAGAAAAAAAACCTGAAGAGACATGAAAAAATTATTTTGTACTTACCATAGCATTGCTTTCTGGAAAAATTAATTCTTGCGCTATGGGTAACTCCTCAATAATTTCATTTAAACGAGATATTTGTTCTTGGGGATCGCCATATTCACTTAGACCAGGTACCATACTCCAATTATCGCTTAAGGTTGAACGAGTTTCATCAACTAAAATACAATAAAAATCAGTTTTTGTTCAACGTACGATAAAGCCATCCACATACCGTCATTTTGTTGTGGTAAATCAAAATTATGAAATTTTTCTGGTACATCTTGTCTAAAAGGTTTTTCCACAGTGACTGGTATCGCTGTCGGTCCACGTGGTATCGAATGTTGTTGATTTAAGGCATTTGTGTTCTGAGAATTTGATATAGTACTTGGACTGCCTGATTGCGTATGATGACTAAGAAGATTACTATTTGAAGTGACTGAATCTTGACTTATATTCGAGTTTTGTTGTTGCTGTTGCTGCTGACTACTGTCCAAACTAATATGAGACGATGGCGTATCACGACCACTCAAATTCGGAGTAGCTAAAATAAAATTGAGACAAATTATTTTATTAAATAAAATCATTTAATAAGCGGGTAAAAATTTAGAGTTTATAGACCAAAACAATTACAAAAATTGTATACCTCTTCCACTCACGGATACATTATCGAAGATGGCATCTGTTTCCATTTCATTTTGTGCTTTATCTAAATCGTCACATGATGATGTTACACTTAAATTTCCTGTTGATGGAGCACCTTCAGATATTCCTTCAAGTCCTTCCAGATTATCACTAATATTGCCTATTAACAACAATAATAATCAAGTAGAAGAGAAGTAAAGATGATAAGTTGTTATCGCTCACCAACACTATTGTTGTCTTTTAAAAGAAATCTTAAACGTTTTTCTGTAGCTGATGGATCATATTCTAAAGTGGTATTGCTACTTTTAATTAATTTTGTTTCATTTTCTAGTAAAATCTAAAAGATAGACAATCGTAACACAAGGAAAAAAGTCTATTCAAATTTATACAAAAACGATAATTCATACAAAACTCATTTTCTTTACTTTTTCCTCTGACAACATTCCTGGACACTCTGTTTCATTTGAATCAATTGTAAATACGATAACTTGTTCCGTTTGTAAAAATGCTTCTTGGGACAATAGAGAATCATGTGATAAGCGTTCACTGTGTTTACTACTATTATTAGCGCTGTTAATATTGTCTAAAAATTAGATTAACATATTATAAATGTAACGACTAGTCTAACGAACATACCTTTTCCTGTTATTTTTATTTTATGATGTTTATGGTGATGATGATTGTTATGATGTATGGTATGACTTTGTTGATCACTTGCAATTGTGGATGTCACTATTTGTTGATCATTGTTTGATTGTTGATAATTCATATATTCACTTTTAACACATTCTTCCAAAGGTACTAGCTCTTTCAAATAAGTTTCTAACTGTTGTTTCAATTCACTATGTTGTGTTTGATTCATTTCAGCTGATGCACGACGAGCAAATAATACCTAAATATTTAATAAAATAAAAATGCTTCATTTCACTGTGTAGACGCATCGTTTTACCAATTGTTGAAGTTGTTTTTGTGTTATTAACAGTACACTTCTTGATACACTTTGAGATGAAGAGGAAGTGGAGGAAGTTACAGAACGAATTGAAAAAGCAACATTAGCACTTGAATCAATTAAGTTATCCAAAATACTTGAAACACAATTCTAAACATATTAGAAAAAAAATTAGAAAAAGTATTCAAGAAAAAAATTAGAAGGTGAGACAACAAGTAAGAATTATGTTGCAAACGGTGTGTGTGTGTATGTCATATGAGTGCGTATTTTTTAGAGCATCTCATTTAAGTGCATTTTATTTTAGCGCGTCTTATTTGAGTGCCATTTTCTATTATATCACTCATTCTTGAAAATATTTTGAAACTTCGAACTGTTTCGGTCATCACTGTTTGATAATAATTCTTAGCGGTTGATAATCTTTTATTTTAATTTCAAAAATAGTCTAGTTTACAGTATCTTCCAACAGCCTGTTTTCTAAAGTATCCCGATCCAAAAGTTATCGCGTACAAGATAATCGACTATGGAGAAGACGACTCCGCTTTTAATAAACTGTTCATACAAGCTTTTAAAATTTTTTGATTTGGTGATATGTGTTGATGACGAAGCTGTTGGAAAATATCGTAAGCTAGACTATTTTTGAAATTAAAATAAAAGATTATCCGTCATGAAGGAATATTATCAAACAGTAATGATAGAAACGGTTCAAAAAAAGTTTCAAAATATTTCCACGAATAAATGGTGTAATGGAAAATGCACTCAAAAATATAGACGCGCTAAAATAAGATGCACTTAAATGGAAATGCGCTCAAATGAGACGCCCTCAAATGAAGCCCCACCGTTACGAACATTATTCGTGTTTACAAAAAGCATATAATCAAATGCGAAAGATAGCTGATATTTCTTTCTTGTGCAAGCGTGACAACAACTACTAAGACAGCCAAGATCAAATGTACAAAAAAAACGTCTAATACACAATTACTATCTCAAATATTTCATCAAATATACTGTCCTCGTGGAAGGGGTTTATAAATATTCTACTAAACCACTGTACATAAATATAGATAGATACACCATTCATTTCAGAAATAGTATGACTTTGCGTAGGGCATGAGATGACAACGTGGTGTCAATTTAGGCAAAATAGCTCTAGGTAAATTTAATGAAAGTGGCAATGAATTGTTGCCGTGCTAATTGATCGTAAGATGACAACATTTCGTTAATTACAATATAGCAAACTTACGGTATTAGAATTATCTGACTATAAAGAGAAAATTATGATGTTTGTATTGTATAAGTAATCACAATACACGTACCTCTTTAAATTTACTGTACAAATCTTTTGCTTTGTTCTCAACATCGTTTGCCATCGCCAATGTTTGTAGAATAATACCAATCTATTAAAAAACATGACTAAAGTATTCATCTAATAGATAAAATTACTCATATTGTTACCTGATTTAGATTATGTCTAGCTACTGAACTAATGGGAACATCAGCAATAATTCCATGTTTTTCTGGTTCACATATTGCCGGTCCAATAAATAGTGTCATGATAATATCACAACAAAGACTTCGAATTTCTTTCGTTGATATATCGCCTGTTTGCGACAGAATAGTACAAATTTGTGATATTATGCATGAGAGTGACACAGGAAAATAAAACATGGAATTTTTAATTGAATCTATGAATGCTGATGTGAATGAATAGAGTTTATGAACAATTAAATCACGATATTTTTGAACTTTATCCAAATAATCTCGAGTGCCAGGTTGACCAAACCTAAAAAAAGAAACAAAAAGTAAGTCAAATCGTTTGTAAAAAAAAAAGTCTATGGAAAAATTGGAAAAAAACTATACCGTCTTAGACGTTCTTGTTTTGAAAATCGATTCATCGATATATCAGGATTTATATCGTAATACCAATCGTCCTATCAGAATGAATACACTTAAGATCAATATATTGTTAAGAAATAAAAAGACACCTACTTGCATAACCAGCTGCATAATTGGTTCATGTAAGGAGGCTGTCAAAAATATTTTTGATGATTGTAATGATGTTAAAAATGAATCAAAAACTAATTTGAATGCTGATGAACTCCGTTGTACAGTTATCCTTGGATTGTTTTCATTCTTCAATTGTATATCACATAGAGATTTTAGAATATTCAATACGGAATATTCATCTTGTAAATATATACATTGACCATACAAAGAGCACATCAAAATGGGAATGATTTGATTCATTAACGACGAGTCTAAAAGAAAGTGTATAATGATTCAACAAAGTTTATGAGAAATGAAGATAATAGCGAAAAAAATGCTTTCATATTAATCTTTGTTTTCTTACCGATTCGTTCGATTATCGTTAGACATATGGCTAACAGATGAGGTGACTGTCGAAGATAATTCAAAAATTTTATGTAGTGATCACTGTGATTGTAATGAAAATATCTGTATGAATCGATAAATTTTGATTGTTCCAATAGTTGTAAACGTTGACAACATGTTTGGGGAAGAATTTGAAGGTCGCCAACTCGATTTGTATAGATTAAAGATGTTAAAACAAGACGTTGTTGTTGAGCAATCCACGTCGTTTGAGATAAACGTTCAGCTAACTTTAAAATCTAAATAAAAGAAAAAAAAGGTAAAGTTAGAGTGAAACTAAGAAAGTCAAATACCCACCTGACTAAATAATTCGATCAATTGCTTCTTTTCAGCATTAACAAATGAGCTCTCACGTTTTAGTTTTTTAACTAATTCTAAAATTTCGTCAGACGAAGACATATCGAGATCATTTGTATACACCAGAATATCTGAAAAATCTGAAAATCAAACGATGAATTTAATAAATCTGAAGTAGAATCTAGTAGAATCTAAAACGCTCTGTTCTCATAGAAAAGGCTTTTCTATGAAGCAAAACCTCATAATCGAGAATAACAATTAAAATACTGCAGATATATAGCAGAGTATGTTTTAAATCGAAAAGGTATTGTATATAAATGATTCTTGGGTAAGCGTAAATACGCAATTGAGAACAAGAAACATCATACCAAAATTATCCAAATAGATAAGACTAAAATTTAAAAATCTAATTTTACATAGACATTTAAGAATAGGTGCGCCTAACATGTTAAGTTTTTAATAAAAATTAAAACCAACAATTATATTAAAATTACAATTCGATATTTCGACCGATCATTTTCAAATTTCTTCGTATAGAATGTAAACCTTGCTCATTAATTCGCTTTACACAATGTTCTACTGGATATTGTACAAAACGAATCGAAATGAGTGATTAGTTTGCTATGTCGATGTATATTTTCAATTTCTCTCGTAAACTGAAGATTCATAGCATCAAAGATTCTGATATATTCAAGACTAATTTTACCGTTTATACGTTAATTTTCTCTCAACTAATAATTAATGACAGATGTCGCTCTGTTGCGCTTCCTTATACTCGTACGGGTAAGCCTCCCCAATAATCGAAAATAATTTTTGTTCACCAGCCAAATGAAAAAAAAATTTTGCAAAAAAAGCTCGCGCAGCGAAAACTTTTGAGTCAGCGCCCCCAAAAAATTTTTTTATGGAGAAACAGTTTAATTTTTAGAGAAAATCGTTAAAAATATTTTGTCCCACCAATTCTGAGTATCTCACGCCAGCCCGCCCCCATCAATTCTCCCGAGGAGTCCACCATTTTCAGAAAAAGCACCTAATGATCCCGAGGGGATTCCCTGGGGCTCACTAGTGAGTTCCACGTCGATAATCCTATGAGGATTCTCTTGGGATCGCCAGGGGAGTTGCTTTCGACATACCGTAGTACACATTGCACAAAATTCCGTGCCAACTCCCTATTCACTCTCTTTTTTTGCAGATAGACAACATATAAATATAATACAGTCCTCTAAAAAAGTTTTACGAATTTTCTTCTAGTTAGCTGTCACTAACATGTCGGCCTTTGTTGGTTGATGTGTTACACTGGTATCCGTGATGGTACCTAGACCTTAGGTATCATATATAGTAAAACCAAACGAGTCTGATGAGTTATCCTTAGTACTGTTGCTAGGTCTCCCTCACTCCCGGGTAATCCACTCTCTAGAGGATCACCGTGGGAGTGTGGTAGATCTTCTAGAGAGCTTGGTGGATTTGCCCGAGATCCCCTTGGAAGTCCATCAATCTCCGCCCCATTGGAGACCACGTAATGTGGTCCCGCAGGATCCTCTGCTAGACTCCCGGGTGGATTTGGGGAAGTTATAGAGGACTTAGGGGGAGTGTCGACTAGAGTAGTGCTGAAATATCGATTTCGTTTGAAACTTTCAGACTTTCGTTTGTGTTTATTAGTGTGTTAATCCATTTGATTAATGATTTTATAGACAATGGCTCTTTCAAGATCGGTTTGAAAAAACTGAAACCGGGTGTTTCCCTTCAGGTCAGCCGTGTTTATACAGACATAAGAGTCACAAAATTTTCAACACTCCTCTCGTGTAGAGCATAGAAGAACCCCACATTTGTTCGCTAAAAGTCATATTCTACATACCTTCTTAGAGATGTCAAGTTTCGGCCGCTCGCACAATCAAGCAACTTTGACCTTGTTTTTCTCTACATCCATAGAGTTAACATCGACGTTTAATATATCATATCAAGCAGCAGCTCGAGTAGCATAAAGTGCTGATACTCAAAATTTATTGTAATATTTTTACACGGACAGGCCAGCTGCCACAAAATGGCATTAAGGATTTCACCTCTTCTGCATTACGGGTTCCCTGAGAGCAATCTTATCTTGATGGATCTTTCAACGTGGATTACGAAGTTATTGTTTTTTGTTTGTATCCATGATAAAAGGCAGCTTATCTAATTGTGTGACAGTAGTGAACGATGACAAATTTCTTGTACAAGATTCATAATAAACATTACTTTATGGAAAAACTAAGACGCTTGTCTGGAGATGCATTGTCTTCCAAACTGTACGAATTGTTTTTGTCATAAACATATTCGTGTTATTGTTTCTGTATTTTGAGAAACCGATAACTCACACATCAAACAGAGCGTGAAATGGATGACAAGACACTCTTGGCAAACTTCTTTTCTATCTTTTATTTTCTTTTTTACTGGGGATGACCTAGACAAGTTCTTTGTTGACCTTTTGTCATTACCCTGTCATTTTATTAAGATCATGGACTAAAATAAAATTGATTGATTGATTGGCTTTCAATCATTCTTATCGAGGTACACAGAAAATCAGTTCTGTTTTTAAAACGCATCTAAATAATTTGAAAACAAAATACCGGGATTGGCCGAAACCGAATAGATCTGTACCGGTGCATGCCCAGTCAGAAAACAGAATTTCTCTTTTTCTAGCAACTAACGACTATGACCTTTTGTCTGATATAATATCACCACAACAAGGAGATTACTATCTTTTCACTTTTTGAATTTGACTCTGCCTTTTTGTCAACAGTAAAAATCTAGTAATGCATACACGCTCAACTCCGAAAAACATGATTAATTTGAAAAATCTTTAAACCAAGATGCAAAAAAAAATTTCCTCCTTTTCAAACCTTTTTAGGTAGTAGCCTGGATTAATATCATCATTCTCAGCCATATACGTCATCACACTATGTACATAGTCTAACAGCGTATTTGTCAAATAAGAGGTTCAGTCACAAATTGAAGGATAAATTATGAATTGCTTATGTTATTCCCTATGAATGAACGTTTTTCTAATATATCAGAGCATGTATGACATTGGTCATCTGCCAGAATGACAAATTAAGAGATAAGGCTTTTCGTTTTGACCAGTACACTACTCAAGCCAATGGCGTAACTAGGATTTTTGGACTGCTGGGCCGTATTCCGTAGAGTCGAAAAGAATCGGTGGGCCTAGGTGGGCCGAACGTTGCCTGCTTGTGCAGGAAATATTTCCAACTGTTGCCAGTTCTGATACCGTCATTTTCGGTGTTACTCGTTCTCGTGGTAATTTAAGATTTTTCAACGTCATTTTTGCAAGAAAAAATTGAAAAATATTGACTTTTTGA